TTTTTTTGTTCATTATTAATTAAAAAATATAAAATATAGTATATTCTTATCATTATTAAAAGGAAAAATAAAAATTAATTACTACCTTTATATTTAAACAAGTGATAAATAAAGGATAATTCTCTCTTTTTTTTTTTTTTTTATTTTAAATATTATATACATTTTTTTTTTTCTTTGTAAATGTAAAAGATAAATTATAGCATGCAAAATTATTTTTTTATATTGAATAAAATACATAATTTAAAAAATATATCTAAAAAATATAAAATAAAAGATTTTTTTTTTATAAATTATCAAAAACAGTTCTATTTTTTTATGAAAAAAATGGATGATATATCAAATGTTAATAATGTAGATATAAATGATAAGAAAAAAGAAAAAAAAGCAAAAAAGTTGGCTGAAAAAGAAAAAAAATTAGCTAAGAAAGCAGAAAGAGAAAATTTAAAAAATGAAACAGCAAAAATACTAGATTATGTATGTGAAGATATAAATAAAGATAATTATGGCTACCTTAATGTAATAAATATGAAATTGAACGATATTAAATTATATAATTTAGAGACACTATATAATTTATTATTAAATGAATGCACAGAGGAATTTAAAAGGGAAGATAATAATACTACTCCTATTTCAAAGGAAGATAAAGAAAAAAAAAGAAATGAATTAGAAGACATTTTAAAAAATAATATATGGATAAGAGGTAGAATACATGATATTAGAGGAAAAGGTTCTTTATCTTTTATAATTTTAAGACATAAAATTTATTCACTTCAATGTATTTTAGATATTAACAATAATAACAATGATAAGAACATGATAAAGTGGGTTAACAACTTATCTTTAGAATCAATAGTTGATATATATGGAAAGTTAATTAAGCCAGAAATACCAATTGATAGTACCAATATTAAATATGAAATACATATAAATAAAATTTTCTGTATAAGTAAAACAGTTAAAGAATTACCATTCTTATTAAAAGATGCTAATATGAAAGAAACATCTGAAGAATCAACAATAAAAGTTAATCAAGATAATAGACTTAATAATAGATGTATTGATTTACGTACTTATGCAAATTTCAGTATTTTTTATCTTCAATCACAAATTTGTCAAATATTTAGAAATTTTCTTATCCAAAATAATTTTATAGAAATACACACACCAAAATTATTAGGGGAAAGTAGTGAAGGAGGAGCAAATGCATTTCAAATCAATTATTTTAATCAAAATGGTTATTTGGCTCAATCTCCTCAATTATATAAGCAAATGTGTATTAACTCGGGATTTGATCGAGTATTTGAAATAGGTCCAGTTTTTAGAGCTGAAAATAGTAACACATATAGACATTTATGTGAGTATATATCTTTAGATATAGAAATGACATATAAATATGACTATATGGAAAATGTATATTTTTATGATTCTTTGTTTAAACATATATTTAAAGAACTAACTACTTTAGGAAAAAATGATATGTTTATTAAAACAATAAAGAATCAATACCCTTCTGAGGATTTTAAATGGCTAGATGTGACACCAATATTTACATATGAAGAAGCAATAAGATTATTAATAAAACACAACAAATTAGATTTAAAAGAAGAAGATATTCTAAATTATGATTTAACTACTGATATGGAAAAGGAATTAGGAAAAATTATTAAAGATTCTCATAATACTCATTATTACATAATTATCAATTTTCCTTCTTCATTACGTCCATTTTATACTATGTATGATGAGAAGAACCCGAAAATTTCTAATTCTTATGATTTTTTTATGAGAGGTGAAGAAGTTTTATCTGGAGCTCAAAGAATTAATGATGTGAATTTATTATTAAATAATATAAAATCATTAAATTTGGATTCTCAAAAACTAAATTTTTATATAGATTCTTTTTCATATTCCTCCTATCCTCATTCAGGTTGTGGTATAGGTTTAGAAAGAGTTCTCATGCTTTTTCTAGGATTAAATAATATTAGAAAAACTTCATTGTTTCCAAGAGATCCTAAAAGGTTAATACCTTAAAAAAAAAAAAGAAATAATTTATATTTGTAAAAATAAAATGAGAATATTTCTTCATTTCATAACATTAAATATTTATGAAAAAATATTACATTTATTCAACATATTATTATAAAGTTTTAAATGATAATTTTATTTACTGATTTTATTGAAATTTATATATTAAGATATAAACAAAACTTTTATTATAATAGTTTATTTAAATATTTATATATATATATATATAAATTTTTATTTTAATTATACGTATATCTTTTTTTTTCTTTTTTCTTTTTTTAACATGGTTATGCTTGTTCAAAATATAAGTAAAATATTTGTTAAATGAAAAGTTCAAATTTTAAAGTGAAGTAATATATTTTATAGAATATGTTCTAATAAATATATTTATTTATATAGTTTTATTTTTTTACTTATTTTATTTTTTTTTTTATTAATATTGTTAAAAAATTACTAAATTTTTTCTGAGAACTCTATTATTTTTAAGTAAATTAACTAAAAAATATATATATATATATATATTTATTTACAAATTAAACTTTTTTATCATATTCATTTTTGTTGTTCTTCTGTTTTTTTATTTCTAAATTCCGTTGTTTCTTTACTTATATATTTATAATAATTAGGCGTTTATTTTTGCAATATTGATTAAATAAAAAAAAAAAAAAAAAAAAAAAAAGAAAAAATGAAAAATTAAAAACAAAATAAAGTATATATTAAAAAAATACAGACGAAGTATTTAATTTATTTCTTTTTCATTTTTTAAATTTTCCTTACACATATTTTTATTACCTTAATTTTTTTTTATTTTGAAATATTATCATTTTTTTTTTTTTTTCATTTGTCTATTTGTGTTTATATATATGTTTAAAATAAAACATATTTTAAAAAATTTAAATTTATTTAAAAACTTCTTTTTCTTTTTTCTGTAATGTTATTAAAGAGAATATATTTGATTATTCAAAATTTTTTTTTTTTCTTTTCATTTTTCTCCCATATATATAACCTTTTTTTATATCAATAAAAAAGGAGAAAAAATTTTAATTATATATATATATATAAATATAATATTTAAAAGAAAGTTAAATATAATGATTAAAGTAAATTAATTTATAACATGAATAATAATAATAATAATTTTAATCTTAAGAGTGAAACAGAAAATGGGATTGTTAAAAGTTGGGTTACTGATAAAGATAAACAAAATAGTTTCATTAATAGAAGAAGAAAAAAAGAAAGAAATAGGAATTATGAATTAAAAAATAATACTATAGAAAATGAAAATTATTCAAAAAATTTAAAATTATTTTGTAAATTAAAAAAAAAATATTTGCATATTAAAAAAAAGAATAAAATCTTATTTGAAACTAAAAAAGAAAAAAAGAAAAAAAAAAACCCTTCTCATAAAACTTTTTTTGATTTAATATCAGAATCTATAATAAATATAATTAATTGTATGAACAGACAATATATTCAAATAAAAAATTTTTGTATAAATTCTATACCCAATTTAAAAATTAAGCGCCTCTTATATTTCTTAATAATTTATATATTAATTAATATAGCATTATTTATTTTTTCTATATTTCTATATTTATTTTTATATTATTACGTAATACCACAAAACAAATACATATATCCAATTGATTTTTCTTTAGTTAAAAACCCAATTGAAGATTATTTAAAAAACAAAAAGAATAATAAGATATATTTTATGAACAAGTCAGAATTTCATAGCATGAACGAAAGAGAAGAATTTTATGTGAAACATTTAAATTCAATTAAAAATGAAATTTTAGACAATATAAAAAATAATCATATTTGTTGTTGCCCTAAAAACTTTCTTGAAAATAGTAATTTTCCTCTTTTAAATAAAAATATAAGTTATTTAAATAATGAGAAATTATATGTTTTTGATAATAAAATAGAAAACGAAAATTTACAAAATAATATATTAACAGGATATATAGATTTTCAAAATAATCCAAGTAATGATTCATATTATAATGAACAATTTTTTTATAAATTTTTTTTACCTTTTTTTAAAAAAAAAAAAAATATTCTTAAAATTAAAAAAGGTTATAAAATTGATATTTTTCTGAATTTTACTTATATAAATAATGATTATAACGATAAATTAGATTCCTTTCAGGTGGTAACTGAAATTTTTAATAACAGTAATAATATTATTTTAAGAAAAGAAAAGTTATATATTAATAATGAAAATTATGAATTTATAAAAAAATTACATTTACTTTTTAACACACCATTTTATTTTTTTAATGTTAATAATAATAAAACTAAAGAAATACTTTTGGTAAATAATTATGAATATGTAACAGATTTCAGTAAAGTTCATATATATATACATCCACCAATTCAAATATATAGAGCATATGTGGTTATATTAATATATGTTAATTTCATTTATTATTATATATATAAATACCCATTTTTATTTTTTTATATTTTTGTTTTTATTTTGTCATCATTCTTAATTTTTCTCAATACTATTTTTTTCTTTTTTGTTATGCTCTATTACTTTTTTATTAAACGATTAAATTAAAAAAAAAAAAATATATATATATATATACACTCTTAATTGTATACTACATATATATTTAATATTTTATTAATTTAAATAGACAATATTTTTTGTATTTTTTTTAAAATTGTAATTTCATTTAATATCTTTTTTATTTTGTTTTTTTATTTTTTACCAAATGCACTTTTTACCTTTTTTTTTTTTTTTTTTTTTTCTGGTATGAAATAAAATAAATCCAAGTTATGTCTTAATTATAACATTTCAATTTTTTAAAATATCAATTATATTTATTTTATAAAGATTTTGTTATTTTTTTAAACTTTCTTAAAATTTTTAAAGTATACATATTTTTTTATTTATTAAATACATATCTTAAATATTTAATAAAAAATAAAAACATAGTATGAAGGGCAATTTACAAATCAAGTATTTTATGATATTATTTAATCCTTTTTAATTTTTTTTTTAATAAAATATTTTGAAATATAAAATTTAATTTATGAGGTAAATTATTCTTTTTTCGTTTATTTTAATGAAGTATATGAAGAGCAAAATTAATAAATGAATGCACATATGTGTATTCATAGAAACTTTTTTTTTTTTACATTTTTTAAACAATATAAAATTATTGTATATTTATAGAAAAAAAACTTGAATTCACTAATAGGAAGTGATATAAAAATTATATTTTTTTTTTTTATTAAATTCTAATATTATTTTTGAATAAATTGTTTTTATATAAAATAATTTTACGAATTATTAAGGTGTTTTAATAAGATAATTTGAGAATTTAGATGTAATTTAAAAATTTTAACATGAATTCATAACTCTTAAAAAATATTTATTATTACACCTACTTCGTATTAATTATTTCAAAAACATATATTCTTTTATATTTTTAATACATTTTAATTCTTTTTGAATATATATATATATTTTTTTTTTTTTTAAATGTTATGATGAAATAATAAATGACTCAAATTAAAAAATGAAAACATTAAGTGATTTATTAGAAAGATAATTTTTAGAGTATCTCTCCTATTGTAATATAAAATTTTTTTATTTTTTTTAATTTTTTTATTTTTCAAATTTTTTTTTTTTTTGTGTGTGTATTTGTAAAAATAGATGCATATAAAAAATATTGGTGAAGAGTCTATCCATACGATATGTAGTAGTCAAGTAATATTTACATTAAGTAGTGTTGTAAAAGAGTTAGTTGAAAATTCTATTGATGCAAATGCAAATGAAATAAAAATAAAATTAGTTGAAAATGGAATAAAATTAATAGAAGTAAATGATAATGGAAAAGGAATAAAAAAAATGAATTTTGAAAATGTCTGTGCTAGACATGCTACATCTAAAATAAGTGAATTTAATGATATTCAAAACTCTTTAAATACTTTAGGTTTTAGAGGTGAAGCGTTAAATTCCTTATGCATGTTAAGTGATCTAAATATTACTACTAAAAATGATGAAAGTGAGCATGGTTATTTGTTAAAATTTGATAAACTTGGAAGATTGGTTCATGAAGAGCCAATTGCAAGATTAAGAGGAACAACTGTTAGTTGTGAAAACATTTTTAAAAATATACCTATAAGAAAAAAGGATTTTATAAAAAATATAAAAACACAGTTATCTCAATTATTACTTTTAATGCAACAGTATGCTATTATATATCATCGTATAAAATTTTCTATTACTAATATTGTTTCATCTAAAGGAATGACGAAAAATATAAATTTATTAATGACGAATCAAAGTGATAACATAATAAAAAGTTTCTATTCAATTTTTGGGAGAAAAAATATTGGAAATTTAATTGAATTTAATATTGATTCTGACTGTTGGAAAATAAATGGATTCATAAGTGATAATAATTGTGGAAGACGTGATAAAGATTTACAATTTTATTATATGAACAGTAGACCTATACATATATTAAAAAATGTTAATAAAATTATTAATACTATTTATAGAGAATTTAATAGTAGATTATATCCAATCATTGTAATTAATATTTTGTCAGATACTAAAAACATAGATATCAATGTAACTCCAGATAAAAGAGAAGTTTTTTTTATATTTGAAAATGAAATGTGTGAACAAATTAAAAGTTATCTTGTGAAATTACTAACACCTAAAACAAATAATCTAATTGACACACAAATTGGTGATTACTTTTTGAAAGCTAACAATATATTATCAAAAAGTAATAATCTCAAAATGGAAAATGATTATGAAAAAGATTGTCATAATTTAAATCAAAAAAGTATCAGTAGTGATGATTCATATAATAAAAAATGTAATAATAATATATATATTAAAAAGGAAATGGATAACACTAATGATTATTATAACAATGATAATAACAAGAGTAACTACAACGAAGAAAATATCTTAAAAATAGAAGACAAAAATAATACAGAAATATATTATAATAATCAAATCCCAAATGAAAAAAATTATTTAACAAATATGGAATTTCAAAAGAATAGTAACAATAATAATAATAATAATTCAAATTTTGAAAATTCATATAACTTTTATAAAAATGAAATAAGCTCTGAAGATAAAAATATGAACCAAGAGAATGTAAATCATAATATATATGAAAATAAAACCAATGAATATAATTATCCTACTTTTGAAGAAAAAGAGAAAAAACAACAACGAATATTAAAAAATGATATCTATTCTACATATGAAAAAGAAGATTATTATTATGATTCCATAAGTACAAAAGACAAAGGAAATATTACACATTCATATAATTCTGATTATACTGAAATCAAAAATATAAACATAAATGACAAAAAAATATATAATGAGAATAAAATTCCTGATATACAAATAAATAATAATATAAACTCATCAGAATATATATTAGAATATGATATGGTAAAACAAGAAAAACAAGAAAAACAAGAATACTATGAATATGAAATGAAAAATATTGCAGATAATTCAGATATATATGAATTTAAAATTAAAAATAACGAAAATAAAAAAATGTATGAATGTGAAACAGAAAACATTCATAATAATTTAGATACTTATGAAAATAAATTAGAAAATGATAAAAATAATACTGTATATGAATACAAATTAGAAAATGATACAAATGAAAATATGAATGAAAATAAATCAAAAAAAAGTGAAAAAGAGAACGTGTATGAATACAAATTAGAAAATGATGAAAATAATATGTATGAATATAAATTAAAAAATGATGAAAATAATATCTATGAATATAAATTAGAAAATGATAAAAATAATACTGTATATGAATACAAATTAGAAAATGATCAAGATGAAAATATATATGAATACAAATTAGAAAATGATAAATATAATACTGTGTATGAATACAAATTAGGAAATAATGAAAATGATAATGTGTGTGAATACAAGTTAAAAAGTGATGAAGATGAGAATATATATAAATGTAAATTGAAAAATGGTGATAATGGAATTCTGAATGAATATACTACTAAAAATATTCAAAATAAGTTAAACAATTCACCAGTTTATGAACATAAAATGAAAACTAAAGAGGTGGAGCAAGATAATTTAAATTATGATAGTATTGATTATTCTATTGATGATTTAAAAGAAAATATAAGAGGTAGTTGTATTAAAAGTATTCCTATAGATATCAATATGTATATCAATAGAGAAAAATTGAAAAGTGGTTATGATTATGATCAAATACATGTAATAAATTTAACAAATAGCGAAAAGATCAAAAATAATGTATTTCATAAAATGAAGGATGAAAGTAAATTAAATAATTATTTATGTCTTACTGACAATGATCAAGAGAATGATTATGAAAATTTATTTAATAATAGTTTAAATATAAAAGAGAGCATCAGTACTACTAAGAATAGTAATTATGATAATGAGGATATTGACTTTAGTAATATTGATGAAAACCAGAAAGATTTATATTTTAAATCTAATTTGTTTGATAAATTGAAAATATGTGGTCAGTTCAACAGAGGTTTTGTTATTTCTAAGATTAATCTACTGTATTTTAAAAATCAAGAAGAAAAAAATAATTCTTCTGATAATAATAATAATTGTAGTAATAATAATTGTAGTAATAATAATTGTAATAATAAGAATGATTATGCTTTGTTTATAATAGATCAACATGCAGCTGATGAAAAATCTAATTTTGAAAAATATAATAAAACTTTCACTATGAAATCTCAAAAATTAATAAGCAAAATTAATTTACAATTAAGTCCAGCACAAATACATCTTATTCAAAAATATTTTCAAATTTTTTTAGAAAATGGTTTTGAAGTAGAAATAGTAGAAGAACCGATACAAAAAAAAAGAAAATTAAATAATATAAATGAAGAAGAAGAAATATTAATGGAAGTAAAAGTATACTTATTATCATTACCAGTATTTAATGGGAAAATACTAGAAATTGTAGATTTTATGTCTCTTTTACACCATCTAACAGAGCATCCATTAACATTCGATAAAAAAAGTTTTGAAATTTTTAAAGAAAACAAAAATCATTCAAATCAAAAAGTAGACACTTGGTTTAATTACAACTTTCCAAGACCACAAAAAGTTTGGAGAATTTTAGCATCAAAGTAAAAAAAATAGATATTTTTATATAATAAAAATATTTTCTGATTTTAATTTTTTTTTTTTTTTTTTTTTTTTTTAATAGAGCTTGCAGAAATGCAATAATGGTTGGAAATACATTAAATATTTCTGAAATGATAAAGATAAAAAAAAAGTTAAGTGTATTAAAAAATCCATGGAATTGCCCTCATGGAAGACCAACTATTAAATATATTATAAATAGTGTTGATATAAAAAATTGCTTTAAAAATTACTACTTAAAATTATACGATGAAATTTCAAACTTAATTTTAACAAAAAACTATGAAACATATAAATATCTATTCCATAATCATATATTCTTTTTAATTATGTCAACTAAACCATTACTTGGACCTATTTTAAAATTTCATTAACTTTTTATATATAATTTTCTTTATTAAAAAAAAAAAAAAAATTTTTAAATTATAATTTTGAAATTTAAAAAATGATTTTATTTTATTCTTTTTTTTACTTTTTTTTCGGTAATAATTTTGTATTGTATATATATATATATATATACTATTTCTATACTGACTGAATTGCATAAATTATGTTTTAATATATATACTTCTATATTTAAAAAAGATCTCTTTTAATTCATTTTAAAATTTTTTTTTGTTTTTAATTTTTATTAAACATTCTTTATAAAATATATTATTATATATTTTCTTTTTTTTTTTATTTAATAAATTAAATAGATAAACTACTATTAGACTTAAAAAAAAAAAAAAAAAAAAGATTAAAATTCAGCATAATAAAACATAGTAAAAGTATGTATGACGAAAAAAATTAAAAATTATAAATTATAAATTATAAATTTATTTTATTTTTTTAGCATCTATATTCTTTTAAAAGTGACTTTGTATATTTTATCCATATGTATAATATTAATTTTTGTTCGCTTTTATTCAAAAAATTAATATTTGTATTAGAATTATAAATTGATTGAAAAGAAAAGTACTGATAATAAAAAAGCATCAAATATAAATCATAGTTACTTAATTTGTTTTGAAAATATTTTTGCAAATCTTGATAAAGTAATTGTATTTTATTTATATTTAATTCATGATTATTTATCAATTTAAAAATGATAGATTGATAATAAAAATCATAAACATCAATGGTATTTTTGTAAATTTCTAAAAAACTTAAGAAAAATAAAGGAAATACATTGCAATCATAACCTTGTTCATTTGAATTATTTTGTTCTTTATGCAAGTCATTCATATTATTAAAATAGTCATTTTCTTTTTTGTTATTATTAATGTTAAATTCTGCAATATCCTCTCCATTATTTTTTTTTATAAATTTAGTGAAAGTATAATATTGCATATAAAGACTTCTAAGATACTTTTTGTTATATTTATTGTTTCGGAAATTTGTTAAATAGAAATTTTTTACTTCAAAATTATTTTTATGACGAAATTTACTTAAATTTTTCAAAAATTTATCACTTCCTATATTATCAAAAAAATTATTAAAAGAAATATCTTTTGTTAAATAATTTTCAATGTTACTTTTTATTTTCGTATCATTTCTATACCAATTCCACATACTCTTATTACCTAAAATTTCATCAGCTTCATGTAAATTATTATTAATATATAATTTTAAAATAATTTTATATTTTATAAAATTCTGAAAAAAATTAAAATAATTTGCAAAAAATATTAAAATTTGAATTCCCTCACTTTTTTTATCATTTTCCATTTCAATTCTCCAATACTTTAATATATATTTGCAGTACTCCATTAAATTAATCATTTTAGATTTTTTATAAATTGTATTAAAATACTTATCACAATTTTCATTATTATTTAATTTGTTTATATAAAATGATAAAAATCCTTCACCATATTCATTCAAAATATCATTTTGTGTTTTAGAAATGTTATATTTAAAAAATTCGTCTTCCTCATTACTTACTTCGTTATCATTTTCTTTAAACACACTTGATTTTTTTTCCGATAACTCTTCATTTATATAAAAGTTTTCATTATTACTTTTAAATAAATTATCATTAAATCTTTTATTGAATTCAATCTTTCTTTCTTTATTTTCACTATTATCATTTTCATCATATAATTTTTCAAATTTTTCTATTTCATTTTGACATGGAGAAAAGATATTATTATTTCTGCTTTTATTAAAAATTTCATTAGGACTTTTGGTTTCATTAGAACTTAATAAATATAACGATTTAAATTGATCATTAAAATTTTCCTTATGAACATTTTTATAATTTTCTTCATCAGAATTTTTGTCTCTTTTACTTGTTTCACTTTTATTCTTAGTAATATTAAGAGAATCAAATTTTAAGGTTTCACTTAATTCAATAGAACAACTACTATCAGAAGAACAGTCATTATCTTTCTTTTTATTTTTGCAAAGAAAACTTAATTCATTCGTTTCATTAACAAAATACCCACTGAATATGGAAAACCACTGATTGTCATTAATAATTTGCTTAATTGTTTGATAGTATTCTGAATCTTTAAAAGAATTTATATTATATGTCATTATTATTAAAAGTATTTTAATAAAAGTAGAAATTTTTGTATGGAAAAAATCATTTTTTTCTTTAACTAATTTTTTTAAGTTGTTTTGTAACAATATATTTTGCTTATTTGATTTTAATATAGAACTATTATATGTAAAAAAAAAAAGAAAATCATTTTTTATGACTTTAAATAAATCCATTTCATCTTCTAGGTTTAATCTATTACCAATCATAATTTTACAAGCTAACAGAATAGAATTATCACAATTTTTAAGTATTTTTAAATATATTGAACTTAACATGCTTTTTATTTTATCATAATTTTCTTTTGTTATAAAATTTAATATATTATTTTTATCATCAAGTAAATCATAATTTTTTTTGTATTCATTTATTAAGTTTTCTGTTTTATTAATAACTAATATATTAGATATATTTATATGCTTTATATCATTATTATCACAGATTAATTCAATACAATATTCCATTAAAAATAATAAACTTATATAGATAAATTCGTATCCTTTTGCATAAATCATATTAATAAAATTCAAAATTAAAAATATAAAATCACTTATATTATAGTTTAATTTAATTTCATCATTACAATCAATAAATATATAATCTTTAGTTTTATTAAAGTATATTTTATTTATGGAAGGTAAAAATATATTTGTTAATTTAATAAGTAGTAATATTATTAAACTCTTTATTATGTATAATTTATTAGTAATTGTGTTATCTAAATTATATGTATCATCATTGAAGTGATTTATTTCACTATCGTTATTAATATTTTTATTTCTATAAAATTCTTCATTAATTTCGGCATCATTTTTGAAGTAAAAATCCATGTATTCTTTATCTATTTTGCCATCTTTTTTTCTTACAAATAAATTTTTTTTTATATAATAAATAATATGGATTATTATAAAAAAATGATAAATATTATAATTTCTCTGTTTCATCTTGGTTTTTAAAAACATTTTAACTAATATTTTAATAGAAAAAAAAATATTACATTTTTTTAAATTATGTAGGTAATTATATATATGTTTTGATTTTTCATACATGCTTAAAACTTTAACATTATATGAAAACTTTAAAAATACTAAACTATTTAATTCATTTTTTATTATATTTCTTATAATTTTTTCTTGACTCAAATAATTTTGGCAAAAATTAATAATTAACTTACAATTTTCTTCATTTATTTCAAAAAAATTTTCTTTTTTTTCATTTCCACTTTTTTCTCCTTCAAAAGCATTAAATTGTTCATCAATACTGTTGTGTTTTATAATAGCATCTTTGTCATTGTAGATATCATTAGAAATATGAATACTATTAATTTCATCAATGTTCATATTTTTATTTATATCAACAATGTTAGTATTTTCAAGGCTAAAATTTTTATTAATATTTATATCACTATGTTCTTCAATATTAATTATTTCATTTTTATTTGTTTTATTAATATCAATATCATCATCAGTAATCATATTTTTATCTATATGAACATCTTTATTAATGGTAAACTGTTTATCGATATCATTATATGTATCAGGTTCACTTTTCATGATACTTAAATTTCTCTTAATGTTTATATTACAATTTTTATCGTAATTATCTATATAGTTGTTATTTTCTTTAAGTAAATAATTCTCCTCATTAAATATTTTATCAAGAAATGGGTATCTTTCTAAATGTGATTTTCTAATATTTGAAAAAACAAAATGAAAAAAAGTATTTACTGAAATATTTTGATATTTAGAAAACTGTGTAAAAAAAAGTACAATCAATATTTTATAAATAATGTATTCTATTATTTTTTTATTTTTTTTATACAAAAGTAGAACAAATAAGATGTCTATTCTATATATATTATCTATAATTAACTTTAAGAATTCTTCTGAGTAATAAATATTAAATTTATCCATAAACTTATAAAAATTTAAAAATTTATTCATTTTTTTTTTGCCAATAATAACCAATTTATTAAAATCTAATTCTATATTATACTTAATATCAATAAATTGAGTATTTAAAATATTAAATATTTTTAATGAATCATTATTTTCGTTTTTTAATTTTAATAAAATATGAAACATAAAAAACTTCATAAATATGTCATGATATTTTTTATTTGAATAAAAATATCTATAAACATTGTTTTCAATATTTTTTATTTTTTCAAATAATGAGAAATTTTTCTTTAATAATATTAACAATAAAAATTTTAAATAATCATCTTCAGATGGATCAAATAATTCGTTTACATTATCATAATTTTTCTCACTCAAATAAAAAAAAGAATGAAAAAATATATTTAAATTCCTTAATAAAAAACATAAATCATAAATATACGGTTTTATATTTAATTTTTTAAATAAAAAAATATAATAATCATATATATTTTTCTTTGACAATTTATAAATTTCTATATTACTATTTTTTAAAAATTCTATATCTTTTTCATCAGATGATGAATATATATTTTTTATTTGATTAGTCTGAAAATTAAAATTATTTAATATTTTTGTATTATATATTATAAGCATAGTATCAAATAAATTATCTTTTGATATTTCACAACAACATTCAAACGATATATTATTTTTATGAGTATTACTTACTTTATCCATTATTTTGTTATTACTAGAACTTTCATTTTTATAATTATTTGTGTCATTTTTATTTTCATTTTCTTTAACCTTTTCCCTTGTCTGGTTTTCTAATCTTGTCATTTGCATTTCATTTAAATATATAAAAACATATCTTAATTCAATTAGTTTGTTTATTATTTCACATTGAGGTAACTTCTTAATTATTTTTGACACAGAAGAGAAAATATTTCCTAAATTAAAATTATAAAAAGATACTTTTATAAAATATATTGAAGAACATATATTATATAAACACGTTTCATATATATAATATAAAATTTTATATACAAAATTTATGTTAAAATTTAAGTATTTAAAATTTGTTAATATATAATGAAACAATGAATTTTTTTCATTTTTTTGAAATTGATTTAGAATTTCTTTTTCCGTTTCTATTTCAAACAGATATTGAAATCTCTTTTCTTTTTTTGTTTCCTCATTGAATGCATTATTTTTGAATATATTAAAATTGCTTAAAAGGTCTTTGTTATCTTCAAATACCCCTATATTATAAATTAAATAGTTTTTCTTTTTTATCAGTTCATAATTAATTTCTAGTAAATTCACTTTAGAAATATCAGCAGTTTTTATTAGAATTTCTAAAATTTCATCACATGATTTTTTATCTAAATTTTCTACTATATTTTTTTTATAGTTGTCTTCAAAAAACAATTTTTTTATATTTACCTTATCAATTCTTTTTATATGCAGACTAAATAATAAATATCTCATAATAATTAATAAGCAAACAATTTTTTGTAGAAACGTATTTTTATTTTTATTATTTTCGCTAATGTTATATTTTTGCTTACTCATTATGTGAAAATTATATATACTTAATAAAGTGATATCAATTATTTCAATTTTTCTATTAATTAAAATAAAATTATTTAATATAACATTTCTTATAAATGTATAAACAAAAGAATAATCTTCAACACTTAATATATATATAAATGCAAAGTAAATGTCATTATTAATTAAAGAGTGATATATGTAATTTTTTTTATTAGTATATTCTTTTTTAAAATTATTTTTCAAATTAAAGGAATGTAAAAATAAATTATCCTTTTCTTTAAATTCTTCTTTTTTTTTAAACATATGTTTAATTTTATTTACTGTTTTAAAAATATTATCTGTATCCCATTTTCTAACATTGTATTTATTTATTTCGTTATTAATTTTTTTTATATGGAAATAGATTAAATCATAATGTTCTCTTTTATCATTTAAAAATTTATTATTCCCTTTACATGTGTAAAATATATTAAAATTTTCTTTATTTAAATTATTGATAAAACCTTTTTCAGAATTTTTTCCTTCATCATTTATTGAATTTTCTTTATAATTTATCTTATTTTTTTTGTTTCTATTATTTCCATAATAAACATAACTTTCATTATTTTTTTCACAATTTAATGCTATTTCCTCTTCATTTCTAACACATTTGTTTTTTTCATTATAATAATAAAAATTCTCTGAAGAACCTTCATCAAATTTATTTTTTTCGTTTATATTTTCATTAATATCAATTTCATATTCATCATTTAGTTTATTCTCTTCGTAATTCATATCATTTTTAATAAAATTATTTAAATCACTATAATTTTCACTACTACAACTATCATCAAAAGTTGTTGTTTCATTATTATTTTCATCAGTATTACTCTCTTCAGTATCATTTTCATTAATATCATATTCGACCAAAATATTTTCATCAAAATAATTTTCTTCATAATCATCTTCATCAATATCATTTTCATTTATATAACCAAAATTATTTTCATTGTTTTTATCATCACTTTCAATTTCTGCTTCAAATTTTTCAGAATTTATTTCTTCATAATCCGCCGATATGTTTCTACTTACTTGAATTTCATTTAAATATTCTACTTTTTCATTATTATTATTATTATTTTCGTATTTATTATCCACAATATGGTTATTGTTAATTTCATTATTTAAATTAAATTCACTTCTATGCATGTCATTTTCTTTTATTTCATTATGATTAATTAAACCAAAATAATTTTCCAATTTTTGCTTTTTGAAGGTATCTTTTTCAACTTCCATTATATTTTCATCAAAATTTTTCATAACATTATTTTCTTTATTATCAGAATAAGTTCTGACCTGTTCATTTTTACAATTACTATGAATGAAATGATCTGTGTTTTCCTTTATTATTTTATCTGTTGTATTTGATAATATATTTTGAGAATATTGATTTTTTTTATTATTTTGAATATTATTTTTTTTATTAAACAAATCAAATATTTTATTTTGATGTAGGCCTTTTTCAATTTTATCATCAAAATACTTGTTTTCTTTTATTTTTGTTTCATCTAATTGTTTACTTAAAAAATGATATAGAGAAGTAAAATTATGAAGTTGATATATTTCATAGTTTTTTTTTATTCTTTTGGTTAGAAATTGTTTTTTTTTTAAAAATAATTTATAAATTGTATTTAAATATAGAGAATAATTTAAAGATAAATGAGAAAAAAAAAACATAGAAAAATTATATATATAATTAATTGATTGTTCTGAAAATTTACTATAATATATGATAACATTTTCAAGAAATAATTTATATTTTTTGTTTAATTTTTTATCTTGGAATAAAATTATAAAAAGAATTAAATAAAATTGTAACATTTTAGTTTCTTTTTTTATTTGTAATATATATATAATATACAGAATAGTATCACACAAAACTTCATTATTTATATTTAGTAATTTTATTAAATTGATAGTTTTTCTATAGTTACAACATACATTTAGATTATTTTCAACAATATTTTTAAATATTTTAAATTTATTTGTTTCCATTTTCACCTTTATGTAACTATCATAAAAAATATTATTGTAAAAAATAGAAAATTTATCATTTACATAATTTTTTTTTATTCTGTTTTTACTATTTTTTTCATAAGTTTGTGCAATTAGTTTAGAAAAAGATTTATATATATCTTCATTTGATTCTGAAATTTTTTTCTGTGTATTCATGTCTTCTGGTAATATTACATACTTATTCTTATTTATGAAATTTTGTATATAGTATAATATTCTTAAATTTGTTAATATTTCATCATTCTTTTTTAAATTAAAAATATTTTCTAAAGAATATACTTTTCTTAAAAAATTATATAATTCTATAAACTTATCATATATGGTAATACTTTTTACTCTGTTAATAATTAAATAATTTATTATATAACTATATTCTTTTATATCTAAATGTTTATATTCTTTATAAAATTTCATAAAGGAATATAAATATTCGAAATCATTAGAATAAAATAATATTATATAAAATATAATCAAAAAAAACAAATATAAATCAACGGATAAAAATAAATTGTAATATAATTGTAAACAATTTTTCGTAAAATTATTATCTTTATATTTAGTGTTTAATATAATTATTTTAAATAATTTGTATATATTTAATATACTTTTTTTTAAATTATTTTTTGAATTTAAAATTATATCAATATTTATTTTTAATTCATCTTCTTGATTAATAAAATCTTTTTTAAAATGTTTCACTATTTCTAATGCATTTAAATGTTTTTCAAACATATCTAAATACCTTTCTAATAATTTACAATAATCTAATTTTTCTTCTTGTTCAAAATTTTTTTGTAACTCCACACTTTTCTTTTTAATGGCATCATAATAATAAATAACAATATGATCCAAATATTCATCAAAAATTACAGAACTACTATAATTATCACTTGTTTTAAAAATATCAATTAAATTAAATAAATTAGTATCTTCCTTACTATCTGAAATATTTTTATTAGAACACAAATAATTTTTCATATGTATTCTATCTAATAATGACTGTTCTTTATCTATTTTAATTTTTTTAGGCAAAAGAAGATAAAAATCATTAAATATAGTTATAAAATATAGTAAATTTATTTTCATGTGTTTATAAAAAATTATTAAAAAGAAAAAGGAATATTCATAATCATGATTAAAAATAATTTTATTTTTATATATAAAGTAAATATTTTTTAAAAAAATTAAAACCTTATCCAATTCAGCTGCTTTTTTTTGAATTTTTTTTTTTTTCTTATCTCCATATAAGTTTTCACTTAATAAGGATGATATGCTTTTATTAGATTTTTGGTAACCATAACAAAAGCTTTTTGATTGTAATATTTTCAGTGTTTTTAAACAAAATATTATAAAAAGTTGTTGTGATGAATATAAAATGTTTATATATAAACATTCTAAAAAATTATTTGCTTTTTTATAATTTAAATTAACTAAATCTTTATCAAAAATTATATAATTTTCATTTGTTGTTATTATATGTTCATCGATATATTTATAATTTTTTAAAATATCTTCAAACTTATCGTAAAAATTTTTTACATAATTTTCTTGATCGTAATCATTAGATAAGTATTTTATATCAAAATCTAAGATTAAACATAATCTATCGTAAATATCCATTTCTAAAAATTCATCAAACTTTACATTTTTATTATTCTCTTTACAAACAATATACATTTTAATAAGAATAAAAAGGCTATACATTAATATAACATTTTTATTTGGGATTTTATCTTTTTTTAAATTAACATACAAATTATTTTTTATAAACATAGTATCATTGAAATTAAATTTGGTTACATTATTTTCTTCATTCATATCTATATTTTCTCCTTCCGAGTTTTTTCTCTTTTCGTCATAATCTTCTGTGAATGTATTACAATAATTTTTATTTTTATTTAAAATATTGTTATCGGATACAAGAAAATATTTTTCATTAAAAGTATATTTCTTTAATTCACTATCATATTTATATATTTTATATACATTATTATCATTTATATGTTTCAGACAAATATAAACAAACGCTAAAAGACGACTTTTAATTAAATGTGTTTTTTTTATTATATTAATACTTCTATTTATAAAAAACTCAAAAAAAACACATTCATTACACATTATATCATAATTTTCAATATATAACATATCACTATTTTTATAAGAAAATAAGGAATACTCTTTTTCTTTTTCATTACTGCTTCTTTCTAAATTATTTGAATATCCATTCTTTAATATATAATTAATATTCTTAGATGATTTTATAATAGAATATTGAATTTCCTTATTATAAATTGTATTTTTATTGTTATCATTGAATTCATCGACATCCGTATAACTTTCTGTTTTTTTAATAATAGGTAATAAGAAGAAAAAATCTTCAATATTTGTATTAATTGGAATATAATAATAAATCTTTTGCCAATTATAATTGATAAATGTATTAAAGTATTTATAAAATATTTTTATCAAAAAATAATTTTGATTAATTAAAAAGTATTTTAATATATCAAATGGCGAATAATAATATTTAAATTTTGTCCAATTAATAATGTAAACATTAGATGAATTTAAATCTTTACTATTATCATTGTTATTATTATTATTACTACATATTTTATTATCGCTTTTTCCTTCATTTATGTTTGTTGAATCATTTGTATTTTTCTTAAAAATGTTAAATATATCTGAAAATTTATTTTTATTACTATATTTTACTACATTTAATTTCTTATATTCTTCATCAAACTTTGAATAATGACTACTACTACTACTACTACTTCTTTCTTTATCTAATAATTTCATTATATATCTATATAATTTATATTTATATATTTGATTCATTATTTCCTTTTTATAATTCATTAATTTTTTTTTTAAGATTTCATCTTCTTTTATATTTGTTGAATAGTCATAACTTTTATTTAAATTTATATCATGAAAATCATAACACTTATATTTTGTTTCCTCTTTTTCATTTTTTTTTTTTTCTGTTGAATCTAAAGAAGAATCATATTCATCTAATTCTTCCTCATTAATTGATAATCCCCATATTTTCCTTATACAGCTTTCATCATCCTCTTTTTCATCATTTGAATCATCTTCATTTTCATATTCTTTTTTTATATTTCTTTTTGTCTCTATATTTTTTTTAAGTTTATTTTTTGTTAATTTAATTATAGTATTTTCTTCGTCATCTTCACTTTCATCCGAACTTAATAAATCTGTTAATTGATTTTCCTCTTCTAATATATAATTTATTCTTTTTAAGGATGAATATAAAACATTTTCTAATTTATATAAATGTATATTTATATCAATATTTTTATACAAAGGTGTAGTATCAATTTTTTTTACACTGTAATAATTATTCACATATCTCGAAGAAGATGTATAATTTTCATTAAGTATATAAAATAAATTATGATAATTACTATTCTCTTCATCTATATTTAAATTAGTTAATATGTTTTCATATTTATTATAAGAATTATTTTTTATATTCAAAAGTTCATTTATTTGCTCATCGTCTTCATTCCTGAATGTAAATGGATCATATTTAACTGCTCTTTCAAGAAAATGGAATATATTTTTAATTTTAAATAAACACTAAAAAAAATAAAAAAATATGAAGAAATATTATAAATAATTTTTTAAAACATAAAGCTAAAAAATGAACCTTTTCATATTTAACATATTTAAAATAACAAAATTATATAAAAATTAAAATTTTATAAATTATATATGTATTTAAAAAATATAATAATACTTCAACTTATGAATATACCTGATAATCAATTAAAGGAGAATCAAAGTATCTTCCACTATAATCATATATTGAATAAACAAAAAATTGATGAACTAAACTAAAATGTTTACGTTCCGCTAATAAAATAGAATCATAATAATTATTAAAAAATTGATATATTAATAATTCTATCTTATTTAAAAAATTTACTTCATATAGGGTTAAATTAAAATCATCTAATTGATTTTCTAAAATTAAAAAATGTTTATCTATTTCACATAAATAAATATTATTGCATATATTATCATCATCAATTATTTTTTTGTTTTTTGTTATATCTTTTAAAAAATCCATATTTAGGAATCCCTTTTCAGAGATATTATCATTCATTTCATTATTAAGTATTTTGATTTTATTCTGATTTATTTCATATATGTCTAAACGAACAGGAATATGTAAAACTTCTTCCAACTGTATTTCTTGATTTTTTTGTTTATCATTTATTTCAGTTAATCTTTCTTTTAAAATATTGATAGTATTATTATATAAATAGTATATCTCATCATTATAATTTATATCTAATGTGCTAATTTGTTCATCTAAAATATTTAGAGTGCACATATTAATGTTAGTCCTCTCAATTAATTGTTCATTTACATCATATAGAAGTGAATTGTTGTTGAATTTTTCCTTTTTATGAAACTTTGAAAAAAGAATTTTTGTCAATTTTTTACAATAAGAATTTAATATATTTCCTGTACTTTGAACAAATGAAAAATATTTAAATTTATTTTTGTTAATATATAAATCTGGTAAAAAAATATCACTATAAATTAGGAATAAATTATTATCTTCATTTAAGTATATAGAAGAAATTTTATTTATTTTTTTTATGTATTCTGAAGAATAACATTCTACTTCTTTTAGACTTTTGTTGTTAAAATATTTCAATTGACTTGATTTATATTTATCAAGGTATTTATAAATCTCGTAATTATTAGTATCGTTATTTTTTTTCAAAATTATAAAATCATTAGAATTAAATAACACAACTATGTAGTTATTATTCAAAGTGATATATTCAATATTTCTTTTAACATCTTCTTTTTTATTAAAATAGGACATGCTTATTTCTATATATTTAGTTTTTCTACTTTTTAAGTTATAAATAATTATATTAATGTCTTCTTTTTTATTATCACAATAAGCTATAATTAAAATAATATTATTTTCAATTTTAAAATAAATTTCATCATTTTTTTTTAAATCAAAATCCTTTATTTCCTTAAATGAAGAAGAAGGATTAAGTGCTTCTTTTATATTAAGTTCCTTTAAAAAAAAAAAAAAAAAAAAAAAAAAAATTATAATAAATATATAATAAATATATAATAAATATATAATAAATATATAATATTATGTATGAAAAAAAAATAAAATTATACATATTTTTAACAGATTATTATTTTTTTGTTAAGTTATATATATATAATTACTTATGCATATAAAAAACAATTTAATCATATATACTCAAATAAAAATAAATAAATATTATTACATTTTATATATGATAAAAAAAAAAAAAAAAAAATTATTTTTTAAAATATATATAAATAAAATATATTTATATAACCATTAATTTTCCAAGTTTTTCAACAATATAGATATGATCATTGTATACATAGAAAAAATAAATACTTATAACAAAAGAATGTCTTCTTAATAATTTTATATCATTTATGGGATTATTCTTGTCTATTTTTTTAAATTCCTTGATAACAATTTTATTGTTCTTTTGTATTATTAATAAATTCAAATTGTTAATACATATACATTTATTAATTTTATGAGAAACTATATTAGAAAAAAAAATAAAATAAATATAATAAGCATAATTTAATTTAAATTTATCGTGAAAAAATATTATTAAAAAATTATTTTTCTTTTATAATTTTCTAATTTCTAAATTTCATACATATATATATATATATAAATTATTAATATCTTAAAAATATATATTTTTTGATATTATTATTGTATAGTTTTTTTTTAATAAATAATACTTATTACAGTTGTATCTGAACAGTTTCCACTTATTATCCTGAAGGACACATATAAAAATATATTTGTCTAAAGAGATTGTATATGTATTTTCATATTTTGTTATTGTTCTTTTATGAAAACAACATTTATTTCTTTTTATTTCTAATCTCCCTAGATTATTATTTGCTTTATTTTGCTTCTCAAATACATTAATATCATTAGTAATATCATTAATATTAATATTGAGTACTTTATTTATTTTTATCATTTTTAAAGTAAAAAAAAAAAAAAAAAAAATAATATATATCTTACGAAAAAAGTAATCTATAATTAATATTTAAAGCAAAATACTAATTTTTATATTATTATACATGTTTTTTCTTTTTCTTTTTTTTTTTTTTTCATTTTATTAAATAAGATATTTAGAAAAAAAAAAAAAAAAAAAAAAAATTATAAAATATATTTGTTTTTCTAAATAATTTTTCTCATCTTATGTGTAATAATAAAATTTTCATTTATGTTATTCCTATTTTTACAAAAACAAAAAGAAAATTTATGAGTATATAGTTTTATATATTTGAATTATTTTTTTTTTTTAATTTTATAAAAGTTTTTTTTTTTTTTTTTTATAACTTAAAAAAGTAAAGAGCATAAAATAAATTAAAATAATTAAAAATTTTTTTTTTTTAAAAAACTTTTTTTTTTCTTTAGGACTTAAAGGTTAAGATATGAAAATTAATTTTTATACATTTTAATTTTATTTTAATTCATTATTGTTCTTTTTTGTTTTTTTTTTTTAAAAGGACTAATTTAATTTAAAAAATTAAATAATAACGATAATGTACATATAATTTAAGCCAGTGAATATTTATGTAAACTACTTTATTATGGAAATTATAATAAATTAAAAAAATAGAAAAAAAGATATAGATATAATCTACTAAAAAATAGATATAATCTAATAAAGTAAATATTTATGAAAAGAAATATTCTGCAAAAATAAATTAATTCTTATGTATTCTTTTTCTTTTATTTCTCTAAATATGTGTGCATACACTTTTTTTTATTTTTTAAATATATATAAATATATATATTTTAGTTGAAAATAAAAAAGAAAACAAAAGTAAAATGAAAAAAAAAAAAAAAAAAAAGGAAAATTATGAATTATAATCTGTAAGTGGAAACAAAAAGAAAAAAATATATTTTAAATAAATTAAAATATATATACTTATATATATATTTAAAAATAATGAAAAAAATACGATAAAAAAAAAAAAAAAAAGATAAAAAAGTTTTAATTTTGTACATATAATAAGGTAAATAAAATAAATTTATAAAGATGTTCATTTTTTTTTTTCTAGATTGATATTACTGAATTATTGCTACAATAAATATTTGAAAAAAAGAAAAAAAAAAAATTATAGAAAATTTATACATTGGTGTATATTTATAATTCAATAATTCATGAAATTATATATTGTAGAAAAAAAAAAATGAAAAAAAAATTAATTAAAATTAATAAAAAAAGTTAAGAAGTATAAATTTTTCTCTATTATAAAAAAAATTAAAAATTAGGTAAAAAAGGAAAGAAAAAAAAAGTTAAGCTATTTTCATTCCCATTTGTTGTTTTGAATGAGATGGAGCATGATGTTCTCCTAAAAGAAAAAAAAAAAAAAAAAAAAAAAAAATAAGTTAATATATAAAATTAATATACAAATGATAATATTATTTATTAAAAAAAATGTAAAAATAAAATGAAAAAATGAATGTTAATTATATATTAAAATAATATGTACATAATAAAATTCTTTAATAAACATGAGAAGTAAAAATTTTTAATTAAATTATTATATTAAAGAAAAATAAAAATAAAAAAAAAAAAAAAAAAAAGGGATAAAATTACTAACCTATAATTATAGCAAATTGTTTATTTTTCCAATTTATAGTATCATCGTTAGATCTCCATATTCTTTGTCCATTCTCAAATTCAAAGAAGGTAATTTTATCAAATATATATTTAGGTAGTAAAGTTCTTTTTCTTATTTTATTTTTAATATCTAGCATATTGTCATTAGGCTGAAAATAAATAAATAAATAAAATATATATATATATATATATATATATATATATATGCATTATAAGTAGTTTTATTAAATATGAAAAAAATATATTTACATCTACGAGAACATCAAAACTATAACCAAAGACTTCTTTTGAAGGTGTTTGATTAAAAACATGAATTATCTGAAACAAAAGAAAAATTTTTTATATGTAAAAAAAAAATTAAATTAATTATAAGTGTATTTATCATAAAAAATCTTATATTTTTAAAAATATAAAATTACTTTTAATTGATCAGTTTCTATTAGTCGTTTTTGTTCATCTGTGAAATCAGGTTCCATTCTCAATGGGGTGACATAAATATTTTTTATATGATTTGTTTTTACAAAATCCATTCCTATTAATTGTTCATCATTACTTAAATATTTTATTTTAGGTCCAAATGTAAATAACAAACGAAATTTTTGTTTTATATCTATTCCCCTTTTTTTCAAATAAGGATTCATTTCCAATTTGATTTTATCTATTAGATCTTGTACGGTTGTATAATTATTTGGTATATATTCATTATTGATTATAGTACTGTTAGAATTATCAGAATTTGATGAAGAATAATCACTATTTGATTCATCACGATCATAAAAATCATTCGATTTAATATCATTTTCTAAACTTTTCTTGAATTTTATATGACCACAATAAGCAGCTACTGATTGAACATGTGAATTAAATAATTGAACGACATAATGAAAATATTTAGGTGAGTCTGATGGGTATAATCTAGTAAAATATTTATAATGAAATGGTAATAAAGATAAGCAAAATGTTTTCTGTTCAGTTAAAGAATTATGTTCTAACGCCATCGAATGTTGTTTTATTAATGTTTCAAATGGTGTCTGACCATAACAAGAATTGTTATTTTTTTGATAATTTTCATAATCTGAATCAGAATGACATGTAAAAGAATCTATATTATAAGGAGAAAAGTTCACAGGACTATTTAAAGGAGGATAAGGAAAGATTAATATATGAGTAGGATCTACATTCATTTTATAACATACATGTTTAAAAATTTGCTTTGTTGGACACCTAATATCAATATCTAAATCAATTTTATACAATTCTTTTTTTAAAAAAAGAAAATGAGAATCAATATAATTCAAACAACCTTTTTTTAAATCCCTTTTTAAAATAACTCCCGCACAATTTCTATACTTCCCTAGCTGATAAATTGGATCATATAACTTGAATCTGAATCTACTAACGTATATTTTTCTTTCTACAAAATCTAAATAATCACAAATCACATAAAAAGGTAATATTGGTTCCTCCTTATCTGCTAATCCTCCACATTTTTTTATAATTTTTGCTTTCTGACTCTTTTTTTTTTTCTTTTTTGTTTGTTTTGTAGAGATATTTAACAATGTATTATTACTATTCATGCTATCTTTATTAATTTCATTACTAACATTATCCTGCATATTTGAATCATTATTATTAATCTCTTTAGGCAATATATAATTACATTTTTCATTAATGTTTTTCACATTTATTTGATTATTATTCATTACAATATTATTATTATTATTATTACTATTATTAATATTGCTATTATTTAAAGTATCTTTATTTTTATCATTTGAATATACATTTTCATTTATACTATCAATATCGATATATTTATTATCAATAGATGATTTTAAACATGCATTATTTGAAATATTGTTAGTATTTATTTCTTCTATAGTTTGTTCTTTTATTTCACTAATTTTATTATTTTTAGATATTTCATTATTTATGTAGTGATTTTCTAATGAATTGCCTCCTGTTTCTTTAGAATCACTTTCATCATATAAATGTATATCATTATTATCTAATGGGATATTTATATTTTTAACAGTTTTTCCTATTTTATCTACATTTGATGTTGTATAATTATCCTTATTATTATTTGTTTCTATTTTGATCGTATCATTAGCATCCATATTATCACAATCATTTAAAGAAGTATATTTATCCGATGCATTTTTATCTTTTTCATGCAACGGATTAACATATACATCTTCTTCAATATCTGAATTTAAATTAATTATATTTTTTTCATACCCACGATCATGTAATGAAACATTAGATTTATCAAATTCATTCTCATTATTTTCATATATCAACATATTTTTTTTTTTTTTTTTTACTTTATTTTTCTTTTTTCTATTTTTCTTTTTATGATCATATATATTACTAGTATAGACAGATTCTAATGATTCTTCTACATTATATAAATAATAATCTGTGCTTTCTGATGTATATGTAAGTGAAGAATTTGCAGATGAACAGAATGAAACATCTGAATTATTTCTTTGTATAAAATCACTTGAAATATTAATTTCATTTTGTGAATTCATATTATTAGAAATATGAATATTATGTGGAGTACTAACATTCTTTAATTCGGATGTTTCATTAAGCTCATTGTTACTTTCATTCATATCTACTGTTTTATTAGAATAATAAATATAATTAAACATATTTATTTGATTTTCTTCATTATTCATCTCATTTATACATTTTGTTACATGTTTACCATTATTCACTTCGTTCATTTTACTTATATGATTTATATCGACATTCATTTCGTTTACCTTGTTCATTTTATTTATCTCGTTTAATTCATATTTTATATTTTTATTTATATTGTTTATATGTCCTATTTCTTTTTTTTTTTTTTTTTTTTTTTTTTTAATTTTTATTTTTTCATCATCAATAGAAAAATCAGATGTAGAAGGAGAATAATAAGGATATTGATAATCCCTACAAATACTTATATTATCAAAATTAAATAAATTACTTTTTTTTTTTTTTTTCAAAATTCGCTTTTGGTTATTTATAACATATTCTGTTACTTCTTCTAATGATTTCTTACTTAATAAACTATATATATAACTAATCCCATTTTTTGCAAATTCAGAACTATATTTTTTTAAATATAGATATAAGTTAATTACTTCTTGACTATTTAAATTTTCTTTATTAATATTTAAAACATTAAAATCTATATTATCTTCATTGAAATTATTCTGTAGACATTGTTCATCTATTTTTCCATTATTTTCATAGGCAAGTGGTAAAACCACACCACTATTAGTATTTTTATTATAACAATCTGTTACTATTTTATCTTTATCATCCTGCAGATAATTAGAACTATATTTTATATTATTCATATTACTTATATCACATGTATTATTGGTATCATTTATATTTTTTTTTTTATTCATCAATTCTATATTTTCTTTATTAAACTTATTTTCTGTATTATTAATTACATTATTAATGTTATTATCATTATCATTTTCCTTTTCAGTTGAATGGTGCTCACAAGATGAAAAATAATTAAGATGATTTGATTCTTTTTCATTATTCAACTTATCATTATTTGTAAGAAATATATTTTGAGTAGAATAATGAGGATTATTAACATTATTTTTCATATTTTTTTCTTCTTCTTTCTTGATTTTATTCGAAAAATAATCATCATTTAGCAGATTATTAGTATTTGATGTGCTATTTTCTTCTTCTTTATTATTATCATTGTTTGTTTCCATTAATACATTCTCACCATTAAAGTTATCAACAAATTTTATTTTATAATATATTCCATTTCTATTATTAAAAATATAACAACAGTTATAAATTTTTTCAATTAACTTTTTTTTTTTATATAAAACTTTACTTAATATATTTGCATTAAAATATATATCATATGTAGTTTGATTTTCTTCAGTTAAATATAAATCTTCTTTTTTTGTTCCCAAACGTAAAATAAAATTTTTTTTTTTTTCCAAATTCATATTAGTTAGAAAGTTAAAAATTAAAATATCACCAGGAGCTATTTTATTATGAGCAATAATTTTTTTTGATTTTATTAAATTACATTTATTTTTACATTCTACAAATATTTTAAAATTCAGAGGATCATCAGTGTCAAAATACTCATTTTGTATATAATTTTTTAATAAGTCATAGTTATATTTAGTAATATAACCTTTCTCCATAGCTTTGAGAATTTTTTCTATTATTCTAATTTCTAACTGTTTTGGTTTTAAATGAATATCGCAATGGACTATATCTAAACATATTAAAGAGGAATCGTTAATTTTCTCTTCTGCATATATATCAAAATATTTAAAAAAAAATAAAAAGCTCTTAGTTTTTGAAGATGTATTAGCAGATACAAATGTTTTTTTATTATGTGGATGATATAAAATATCTATTGTTGGAAATAAATCTGACGATTCTTTATTTGTTTTTTTAAACAATTCATATAGATATAATTGACTATTAACTTTCATATCTAATGGGAAAAATCTATAAACATCATTCGTTGGAAGCATTGCATAAAAACATTTCTTTTCTTTCAAATAGCAGTAGGATGAAGATGAAGAATTACAAGGAGAGTTAGATGAAGAAGAAGAGGAAGATGATGATGATGAAGAATAATAAGAAGAATTGTTATTTGATGAAGAAAAATCTCTCATACGTGAATTACTTCCATCAGATTTTCTCTTAGATTTTTTGAATTTTTTTCTCGACATATATTTAATATAATTATCTATAGAATTTACAGTGCAACATGAAGGAACAGATGAAACAGATGATGAAGAATCAATTGAAGAGCTATCTAATTCTTTATGATTATTTTCTTTTTTTATATAATTTAAGTTATTTTGTAATTTATTTATAGTAATGTTACCATCTTTTTTCATTTTATTATTTTCTTTTATTTTAAAATTTTTACATTTTTCTTCTAATCTTATTTCTTCATGTTTATTTGTAATATTTATATGTTCATTATTTTTATTATTTCTCTCATCATTTTTTATTTCTTCTTTTTCTTGTTCATCTAATTCTTCTTTTTTTTCATCAGCGTTTATTGCATCACTAGTAAATTCTAAATTACTTACATTTTCATTAATATTATCATAAGTTTTTTTTTTTTTTTTTAAACTTTTAAATGAATCCTCATGTTTTTTATTTATATCGTTATTTTTTAATGAATTATCATTAGTGAAATAAACTGTAGAAATATCAAATGCTTCATTTGATATTTTTTTTTGAAAGGATTCATTATTATTTATATTTTCATTCAAATTGACATATGAATCATTTACATTTCTGTAATTATCACAAGTATTTAAACTATTCCTATGAATATTTTTATCATTCATATTATCATCAATATTATTGCTATTTAATTGTAGTAATGTTTTTTGCTTTTTATTTGATTTTTTCAACATTTTTGTGTTTTGTTTTTTTTTTTTTCTTAAATATATTTTTTTTATTATTTTCAAAATCTTATAAAATGCTTCTACAACTGTTTTACTTCTATCAAATTTTATATTGAATAAAGAAGGAATTCCATTTGGTGGTAAATCGTTAAAAGATTTATAAAGATAACAATATTTATCAAATACTCTTATTTTAACATATTGTAAAATTTCCTGTTTTAATTTAGATCTTTTCTTATTTATTATTTCTTCTAATTTACATCTTTTAACAACTTGTGGATTTACAACTGCAGGATCGCATTCTTTAATTAATTTTGGGATAAGAGATTTTTTTACATATACTAGCATATATGCACTATAATTTTTCATTCTTTGCTTAATTTTATCAGAAATATCAAAATCATAAAGATCTTTATCTATATTTATATCAAATCCGCCAAAGTTATCATTGATAACTGAGTATTCACTAACACGAAATATTTTATCATCATCACATTTCAGCCAGAAATTTTCATTGTGTTTATAACTAAAGGAGTAATAATGACCACTATTCATATTTCCTTGATGAACAGAGACTGCTTGTAACACATATTGACCACCAGTTTCGCAATATTTTGATAAATCTAATTCTTTATAAAATTCAAATCTATTATTTAACTTAACAGTTTCCATTCTTTGTAAATCAAATGTAAATCTTTTTAATAAAAATATACATATATTAGGAAAGCTCAAAAATCTCATTCCTTTTTTTGCTTTTTGTTTACCATATCCATCTGTTTCATATATATTATCTCCTTCCAAAATTTCTGCTTCAATTGCTTTATTTAAAGATTCATATATATTATTACAACCTTGAACATCTAATTGTATATCTTCATAACTTTCTTTACGAACACTTTTATAATCTATATCTAAACATTCTATATATGTTTCAACTTCACCTTCAAACATTTTTTTAACAGACCCTTCTACCACAGTTCCTTTCATTTGTTCTTCAACTTTGTCTAATAATAATTTCAATAATTCGTGAGTATCTTGTTGTGTGAAAACATCACTAGCATCCCATCCAAATGAACGAATTAATTCTTTACATGAAACTGCTTCATTTAATGAATGCAATTTATAGAACAAATTTTGCAAAGCTAATGATGTTGGTAAAATATTTTTTTTTTCTATTTCTTCTTCTAACAAAATATTTTTATAATCTGCTTCTTTTGACTTTTCATATTTTATCTTTTTTTTATTTTTATAATAATATGACGAAGCTGAGGATGAACAAGTAACATAAGAAGATGACCCTGATGAAGTTATGGATAAAACAGATAACTCACTATCTGAATATGAATCTTCATAACTATTTATTACAGAGTCGTTATCATCATCTCTGTCTGATTTAGATGTATTTAAAGAACTTGAATTTTTTTTAGAACTCAATAAATTATTAGAATTACTGTTAGAAGAAAATTTTTTTTTTTTGGAGGAATTTGATATATTGGATAAATTATCGGAAGAAGACATTTGAGAATTAGCGTTGTCTTCATTTTCTAAATTATTATATTTTCTTTCATTTGTATATTTGAAAATTTTTTTTTTTTTCTTTAAATTTTTCTTTGCTTCATAATTAATAATTTTCTTCTTATTTTTTTTACTATTTTTTTTTATATCATTACCATATTCTTTATTCATATGCATACTATTATATACTTCATTATCTTCATTATGTATGTTATTATATTTTCCTGTATCGTTCGATGGATCAGAAGAAGAAAAGTGAGCATAACCATGCTTTTTATTATTTTTCATTTCATAGTCGTAGTTATTAGAATTTACATTTTCCTTAATATCATTGTCACAAATATTTTTATTTTTTTTGTATTCATTTTTGCTATTATTCATTTCGTTATTTCGAATTAAATTTGTAGAAAATTCATTTGATTTTTCATTTTTAGAAATCTCTACTTTTTCTATTTGTTTTTTTTTGTGTATATCATCAACTACATCTCTATGATTATCATTTCCTTCTTTTACAATATCTATTTTATTATCTAAGAGACTAGAAGAATGTTCATTTTCATTATTTAGAAAATTTTTCATTTCATTTTTTATTCTATGATTAGAACATTCTTTTTCTATAGTATTATCATTTGAGGATAAATTATTTTCATTTTTTATATATGGTAATAATTTAAATGAAGTATCTTTCGAAATATCTTTGGGATCATCTATGTCAGAACACTTTTTTTCTTTTAATTTTTTTCCTCTCTTTTCTTTTTTTAAAGCTAACTTAATTTTTTTTTTTTTTTCTAATTTATTTTTAAAAAATTCTAAAGTTTTCTTTCCAATAATATTTTCAATATTAAAAATCATCATACAAACTGCTTTTCTAAAAATATTGATGTGATATAATAACTGTAAGAGTGCATTCATATAACAAGTTGCTCCATGATTTTTCAGTCCAACAAAACCAGTTCTTAGTTTACTATTATAATTAGCATCTCTACTGTTTTTATATGATTCAGATCCGAAAGGATATACCCCTGCTCTTAATACGATCTGACCTTCTTCATTTATAAATCCAGGTTCTCTTAATTTTTCAAATGGAACGAAATTATGCCATCCTCTATCTGTGTTTAAATGAGAAAAATTAAAATGATCAATTTTATAATAAGATTTTCTATAATCTGCTAAATTAATTAATATAATATAATACTGAACGTTACTAAATCCCCAATCATTAACCCAATCTTCTTTTTGTATAGCTTCAATAAAAGAAGATGCAACTGGATACATATAATTATTTGATCTTGATTTTGCAATAAATAATATTCTAAAGATAAAATTTGGGCATATTTTCCATTCTGAATAAACTTCTTCATTATTTCTAATTTTATCAAAAAAATTATCTACTACTAATTCTATTTCATTCTCATTTACTGGTCTTAAATTTTTATGACTATATGGTCCATCAAAATTTATATTTTTATTAATTTCGAATTTATTATCTACTCTTTGATAATAATTATTATTTTCATCATAGCTATCATCTACATAAATTTCATCAATCTTACAAGAGTTCATATTCTGTTCATGATATCGATTAAAATTATTATAATTATTATAATTATTCATATGATCATTCAATGTATTTCCATTCATACTATCTGATGAATTACTTCTCCTATTCCTTGTGTAATTTTCTTCTTCATCATCATTATTATTAAACATTTTTTGTTTTAATATATTAATTTTTACATATATATTAAACTATTTTTTTTTATCATATATTTGTTTTATTATTCATATATATTATTATATATATATTTCTACGTAAATATACATATAAAAATATAAATATATATATATATTTATTTATTTATTTATTTTATTTGTTATTTTTAAGACAAAAGGATAATTTAAAAATGATATTTTAGTATATAATATATTTGTACTCATCATTAATAAAAATATAATTATGATATTCAATTACACAATGTTGTTCACTTTTGTATGAGTTCATTATAATTTTTATTATATCAATTTTCATGTAATTTTTCTTATAATTAATATTTTATTCTTACTTTATCTAAATTTATTCACAATTATAAATATATTACTTCATTTAAAATTTATATATATATATATATATATTTTAATGATAAGACTTTTAAGGATAATATAAAATGATTTATTATTATTATTATTATTATATATATATATTTTTAAATAAATATTTCTTCAAAATAATACAATTTATAAATAATATAAAATATATTAACAAAATATAGTTAACATTATTTTAAATTATAATATTATTAATGAATGTATATAAAATATTAAGCCTGCCATAAACAAGTAGAAAATAAAATTAAAGATTATCTTTTTATTATGGCGAACTTACGATTAGTATATTTAACAAATACTTTGACTTTTATAATTAAAACCAAAAGTTATGATAATATATTAATAGAATATAAATATATAAAAAAAATTACATTAATTTTAAGATTTATATCTTTAATAATGCAATTAAAAAAAAAAAAAAAAAAGAAAAAATACATGCCTTAAAAAATTTTAAGTATTATATAGATTTATGCATATGTTTATATTTTTATTTGCTCATTTTATATTTAAAAATATATTTTTTTTAATTATGTAGTTATTTTCAAACTAATCTTTTTTTTTTTTTTTTTTTTTTTTT